GCTTTCTCTATAACAGATTCTGCCCTGCTCCACTGTTCTGTGATGTCTCCCCACAATCCTAAATGAGAGTAAACCAGGAGACCACAGACTGAATGATTTCAAATTGTGAGCCCAAATCTTTTCTCTAAGTTTAGCTACATTCTCATAAAATATTCCCTTATATTATCTTTTCATTGAGCCCTAATGATCGAAAGTTGACAAACATAATGGAAATTGGCCCTGATAAATTGGAGTTTTTCTGTGACTACAACTGAGAAAATGTAGATGAGAATTTGGATTAATCATTATGTTGGTTTGGAAAGAATTGGTGAAGTGGGGTAGGATGTCAAGGCTCCCACAGCAGAGCTTCATGGGCAGCTGTGGTGAGGGGTCAGAATGTGGAGAGATGCAGAGTGTGAGTTATGCTCAGGAGGTTTTAGGTGAAAACAGAGCCTGAATTAGGAAGTTAATTAAAACCAGTGTTTTACAGGATATCTAGGAGACTGCTGACTTTCATTTTTATAAACATTTTTTCAATTGAATCTTTGAGAATTTGGACACCCTCCCCCATCTCCTCTCAGATCCACTGCCTTCTTTCTAAATCACCCCCCACTTCATGTCCAATGTTATTGAAGAGCTATGAAGTGTAAGTTGTGTTCTCTAAATACTCTTCGGTGTGGGTCCATCCTTGGAGACAGAACGTTTATCTGGTGTCACACCTTGATGACAATTGACCCTCCCTCTTCCAGCAGTTACCAAGTACCAATAGCTCCTCATGGATAGAACAGAGAGCTTTCTCCCTCTGTTCAGGCATTTTCAGCCTTTACTTGAATTCTCAGCTAATACAGTAACTGAAGTAAATGCGTGTTTCATATACTTGAATATATATAGTTGTCAGTTTCTGAAGAGGAAATGAGAGTCTATGTAGACATGTTTCCATTGCTCCACAAAAAATAATTTCCAGGAATTAATCAGTGGTTATAGGGAGATGATTCTGGGATGATTAATCTACATGCTCACTGATTTTGCATGTCCCATCAACAGACAGTGCAAACTGAAAGAAACAATAAGTCAGTGCTATAGAGTATCTCCTGACTTCATGAGTATAGTTACATGGATGTTATGAAGAGGTTTCTATGTAGGGATTTTATAGACTAATCAACAAATGTCATAAATCAAGACCTTGGTTGAAGAACATTACTTTTTCAAGGTCATGTCCACAAGTACTACTAGAGTTCATCAAACACCATCGTATTGATGTCGTCTTTACATTTCAGGAGAAACCTTGGAAAGACTGTGCTTTGAAGGCTGAAATGTCTTAGGAACCCAGAGGGCTTGGGGTTGTCATTTTCATTAAGTTATTTTTTCAGTCTGGAGTCTGATTTTATTGTTTATCATATTATTATTTTGTTATTTAGCCACATTTGTTGTTAATAGTAAAAAATCATGGAGGTTCATAGCGTAAATGGAGAATGTGGTTATTTTAAATAATGGAAATATTTACACAAAATGACAGAAAGCTCAAGATCATAGAGGTGAGGATGCAATCCTGGCTGATGGGACAAGATCTCCACTGTCGTCATGGACTGGGAAGAGAGGACAGTCAGCAAATGTCCAGAAAAGAAACTTTACTTTCAGAAGGAAGAGCTCTCACCTCAACATCCTGAATACACTTATTCACTGGACATGCTCTGAGAGCAGTTGCCAACATAAGCTCTTTTATTTACAGAAACTCAGGATCAGCCAACATGAAGGGGGCACTGATGTCTCTTCTCTTCACTCCCAGAAGCCTCTTGGATCCTTCTCTGGCTGTGCTGACATTCAAACAGCAGAATCCCAAGGACGACAATGACCAAGCCAGCCACACTCATCCTGATGAGATTCTCCACTGTGTGACCCTGGGACTGTAAGGCTGTGGTTATGGATAAAGAAGTCCCAGAGGTCAGACCAGACTAAAATCATCAGAGATAACTGTGTATTCACCCAGGGTACCTGGCAACCTCACACAGGACTCAACCCTTCTTGTCCAGCCCCATAATTTGAGACCTGTATCAAAATCATCTGGTAACTTCCCAGTCCTGTGGCACAAATGACCTCATGTGTAACAATCAGTGTTAGCTGACTTTAGCACCTACTGTGTACCAGGCCTCTGATGAGTCTCTGAATTCACCACCTCCCTCCCACACAATCATGCAACAATATGTCATCTAAGCATTCCAAGCACCCCAGCCTGTTCACTGGGCCTAGGGCCCAAAGATGGAAAACTTAGAGCTGTTTTGAACCCAGGGAATCTGAGTTTTAGCCTCATTCTCTCCACCAGTGCTGAGTCCTGGGAACTGGAGGGAAGGAGCTCAAATGCCCTGCACAGGCCCTGTGACCTACCCCTGCATAATGTAACATGACTGGCAGAGAGTGTTTCCACTTCAGGTTGTGGAGGCCTCCCCTGGCAGGAGAGGTCACAGGCAAGGTCAGCACTAAAATGGACGCTGAGGTCAGGTTAAAGCTGTTTTCATTTGGAGAAACAGTCCCATACAGAGGAGGGATCTGTTCAATCTAGCATCTCCAGAACATGCCACACCAAATCCCATAACTACCTCTGGTCCCCGTAATCCACCTCCCTACAGTCCCCATTTAACATTCTGGTGACTTGACTTCACGCGGTGAGTGACTGGCTCTCAGGTCCTCATGGTGGGTTGGGAAGGTGTAAGTCAAGACTCCCCACTCTCCAACTCAGCCCAGCTGCTCCTCCCCCAGCCTGGGACCAAACACCTGTCTTTGCTTCTGTGTTCCCTCTTGCAGCCCAGTCCCTAAGGCTGCTGGGATCTCTGTTGGGGTCTGTGATCTCTGAGCTACTGGACACTCACTTAGCTGACACAGGAACCGGGACTTAGATGGGGTGAGAGTTTGAAGGCAGCTCAGTGATGACACAAACTGAGGACAGAAGCCCCTGACACTCACCAGCTATTGGGATGGGCCCTTTGTTTGAGGGGCTATTTCCCACAACGCGTTATAGGAAAGAGAACAAGCGGAAGGTGAGGGCAGAAACTGACCATGGAGAGGTTGTTGCTGTTCACTGTCCCACATCTTCCCTGTGGCCTCTTGGAGAACCTTCTGCTGTGCACATGGAACTTTCTAGCTTCCAATAAAGGACATGGGACGGATATTCTATGAGGGACTCCTGGTGGTCTCTGCAACTCTGAGAGGTGAGTCTCTTTCCTCTGATTTCCTATGACCACTAATCCCATTCTAGCCAGGATCCCTAGTCGCCCTTTGAGCTCATGAGGACAGGGTCCTCCTACCTGAAAACACAGGCTTCACAGGGGCACTGGGGTATAACAACAGCTAGGGGGTGAGCCCTGAGAACCCTAGCACTTTTAGGTTCCACCGAAGTTTGAGGTTATAGCTCTTACAGAGAATCCTGCCCAGTATGTCCCTGCTTGGGACCTTGACCTGAGATGAAGTATGTGATTTGCTGCCACCTCTGTGATCTGAAGTAACATCTTAATCTGGCTCCATGACAGACACAGCAGGGTACACTACTCACTTGAGGACACTGTGGGCCCAGTCTTCACAGAGAGAGAGATTATGACAGAGAGCTGTCCTAAAAAGAAGAAGGATGGAGGAGGTCCTGCGCTCTTTCTTCTGAGCTGAGGCCTCACTAAATCCTGACTCTGAGGATCTGGGACTCTCTGTCTGGTTTCTCTGAATCTGCACCTACAGTGTTCCCCTGTCTTCCCTTACACCACTAACCTTCATCCCAGATATCAATCTCTGGGAATCCCCTGTAGGCCCTGTGGAGTCTGTGGTTACTTACTGGACCTACTCTGCTGTTAACCTGTGATTAGTATGTCCAGAGAAAAGATCAAACATAGATATGGCATTTCAGTTGTCCCCTGAACAGGACCAGTGAAGCTATGTGACTCCCATGCCTCTCCTTGACCTCTACTTGACTTCCATATTTCACTCTCATTCTCTGCCTAAGGTTCTACTGCTGTTTGGGGTCAGAGAGCCCACAGGGGACAGAGCCTGGAATTGACCCGTCGATAAGTGTTGTGAGTCCAGTGTCCTGTAGAGCTTCTGTTCTCCTTTGTTGGTCAGAATGAACCTGTCATATCCATGTTGTGAAACACACTGGAGGGTCACATTCATTCCTGAGGTCACCACAGGGCTGGGCAGGGCTGACATGATGGGTTTACTGTTGTAGATGGCTAGGATGGAAGGAACCAATGTGTTAAATGGACTCATACAGCCCACATTGTTCCCCAGGGCTGTGATGAAAGTGAACCATTGAGATCAGATCCCTTTTCCTGAAGGCAGAGGCTAGAGATGGGGAGCCATAAGTTTCCCCTCACCTGTTACCACCAGCTCCAGGGTGTCACTGCCCTGAGACCAGCCAGCAGGACTGTCATAGTAACAACAATATCGCCCTGCATGTTGCTCTGCCATGGACTGAATGGAGAACTTGGCCTTTTTCCTTGGTTCCAGTGGGGTCTGTATTTTCCAAGGTGCTGGGTCTCCCTCTTTATGAAGAATATATTTTTGGGCATCCAGGGTCCCCTGACACCAAATGGTCACAGGAGTCTCTGAGGTGACCACAGAACCTGGCTCAGCCCAGATGGTGGGTTTTCGGGTGGTCCCTGTAGAGAAGTAGGTGCGTCTGTTTAAACAGTGGGACAGTAAAGATCAAACATAGAGATGGCACTTCAACTGGCCCCTGAACAGCTCTAGGACCAGTGAAGCCATGTGACTCCCATCCCTCTCCTTGACCTCTCCTTGACTTCCATATTTCACTCTGGCTCTCTGCCTAGGCCTCTGTAAATCAGATCCAGTGTCTTCCTCACTCTCTATCACAGAGCTCAGGAGCCCTGGATCCCCTCACCCATCACAACCCAGGGCCTCCCTTGGGAACCTGCGTATGTGCAGTTTCACCGATGGGAGTGGATTGCATACCTGAGAACACCAGCTCCAGGGGGTCACTGGGTACTGACAACATGTGTGGGTTCTTCATGTAAGAGCCAAAGCACTTGAGCCTCCACCTCTGGCTGGTGAACACAGGGCCCACAGAGAACAGGGCCTGGTACTTTCCAGTGTATATAAACTGTGGGGTCAATTTCCAGGAGCGTTCCTCTGGTCCCGCCTTCTTTAGCACAAATCTGTCATATCAGTATCTTGAGACACACTGGAGGACCACGCTCCCTCCTGGGAATCCTGCAGGGATGTGTACTGAGAGTCTGGGTTTGTCATAGGAGAATCCTAGGAGAGGCGACAGAGTGTTAAATGGGTTCACATAGCCCACACAATTCTCCTGGGCTGGGCTGTGAAAGGGGAACTCATCTGAGAGCAGCCTTTTTTGTGCGGAGAACCTGGGCCTTGGACTCTGAGGATCGTCTTACCTGTCATCACCAGCACCAGAGGATCACTGTGCTCTGGCCTGCCATCAGGAGTCTTATAGGAACAGTGATATTGCCTTGCATAATATTGCCCAGTGTTTGGGATAGGAAACTCAGCCCTGTTTCCAGTCTGCCGTGGGAACTCTCTGTGCCAGGGATCTGAAGCTCCCTCTTTATGGACGTGATATTCCATGGCATCTTGATTTCCCTCACATGACATGATCACCTATATCCCTTTGACAACCTTAGAGCCTGGCTCATCCCTGAATGTGGGCTTGGGGAGGCTCTCTGCAAGGAAACAGAAGCTGGGTCACAGGACATCTTTCCTCAGATCCAGCTCTCATCTCAGGAACCCTCTTCAGTTGTCCCAGCATCAGCCACACCTGCTGCTCTCTGTCTCCAGTGCCCACAGGTGACCCCTGTCCTCAGTGAGGAGGACTTACCTATGACAGCTGGGGACACACTCACCTGCCAGCACTGAGGTCCTGAGGTCCAGAGTCAGTCCTGGAAGAGAGTTTCCTGTGAGAGGTCTGCCCTGACGCCTGAACAGGTCCTCCCCTCACATGTGCTCCTGAATTTTCTTGGTGCTGCAAGGCCTGGCTGAAGGGTGGGATCCCTCCCAGACCAGGGTGTTCCCGGCCTCTTTTCTCACTGATCCAGAACAAGGCTGTGAATATGGGGGTCATGTGGTCTCCTCACCCTGGCTGCAGCCTTGCAGATATTTGGGTGCAGTGCCTTGCGGAATTGGTAGATACCCAGATTGTAGGTTTAGGAGGCTGCGTCTTCCCTTCTGCCAGGAAGCTGTCTCTTCAGCAGACCCACAGAAAGAGGGACCGCCCTCTGCAAGGGACTGCCCCCCTTTTCCCCTGTGATGGGGCTTCACCAGTCTCTAGACCCTGTCTAGAATCAATATCTAGTCTCTCCCCTCCTTTCTATCTCTTAAAGTCAGGGCCTCATGAACCCCAAGTAAACCTGTTTCTCCTACATCAAGCTCCTGTGTGCTGGTACTGCAGTCCTGTGTCTGGCTGTCTTCTTTTCTTACAGAAGTGGAGGCTCCCTGAAATGCACCTACACCTGCCTGAACTGTCTTTACATCAACAAGGGACAGGACTTAGCTACAATAAATTTGATGCTTTATACCTGCACCTTCCAGCTGAGGGTCCTTCAAAGTTTTTCTTTCTCTCTCATAGACTGCCCATTGTTTCACCTCATTCTTTCACCCATACCATCACCACATTGTCACAGGGTCTTTACCTTGGCCAGTCATCTCTGCAGCTCTGGTTCCAGTTTTTCAAGATTTGACTACTTCCTAAAGGAAAAATTTATGAGGTAATGAGCTTTTTCTTATGGGTTACCACAGGACATTGATGACCACAGCAGTCATGATGGTGCTGATGGCTGCTCTGCTTAGGACACGTGTTGAGTGTCTTACAGCAGGAAGTGTGTAGATATACCATGATCACAGTCCCTCTTTCCTGGTGTGAATATCCACACTACTGAGCAAAGGTGTTCCCAGGTCTCAGAGCAGTAGGACCAGACCCATGTGTGATGCAGGAGCTGAACTGAAGTGTGGGATTCCTCGTTTCCAACCAGCATAGATGTAAATTGGACCTGCACAACCCCCAAGGCCATGTCACAAGGTTAGTTCTCAGTGCGACATACTTGGAAGATGTTTAAGAGATGTGGCCTTCAAACTGTGAACCCAAATGTGTTTTTCTTTTTTTTACACTTTAATTCAAAGCTCATAAAAATCTCTTCTTCTGTATCTGTTTTTGTTTGTCATAAGGACAGACTGTTGACAAAGACACAATTACCACTGAGAAGAATTTCAACTATATCTCAGGTAGCTGAGATGAGACCTTAGGGTTGTCTACAGATGGATTTTTGAGTAACTGGACGAGTTGCATGGAGAGAACCTACAATTGCATTAGCAGAGCTTAGTGGGCATTTGTGGTGAGGGCTGGAAAGATCAGAATGACCACAGAATGCAGATAGGGGAAGCTGAGCTCATGAGGTTATAGGGAAGTAGAAAACTCCCTTGGGGAGTGTTTCAGTGGCTCACCTGTTATACTATGTGTAGGGCCCTGAGGATTTGTTTTACTTTTAAGTTTTTCTAGTATATGAATCAATAATTATGGGATTCGTATTTGTAAAATTAGCCATGCTTTCAATCCACTTTAAGTTTTAAAATGACATTTCAATGAAGCTTTATATATTTTATTCAATTTTTGCCATTTTCACGCAGTATGTTTGTACTGTATTGAGATTTCCTTCCCTAGAGCTGACATGGGACTTGTTCATTCTGTCACTGTGCTGGTTGAGTGCATGTGAGTTACTGACCAGTTGTCTGGAAAACTCTGTTTCCATGTGGTCATCCTCCAGCTCTGGCTCTGACAGTCTTTCCAGCCCCTTGTCCACAATGGTCCCTGAGCCTTGAGATACTGCATAAGGGTTTTCAGTGAGATTTCAGAGATTCACTAATCTACGTGTATAACATTGTGTCATTAGGAATAAGTTTATTACTATATCTATTTAGCACAAAACTACTTTTAGTCTCTCTGCTAAGCCATGTGACCTGTCTAGTCTCATGTTCCTAGACGTCATAACTGCTAACAGGGACCTTAAATCCAATAAAAAGTCATTGGTTCCTCCCATAATATTCATGCCACTGTTGTACCCATGGGCATTTGTTTCCAGCCCATTAGTGGCTGTAACTCCTATGATTCACAGCTGGGTAAAACTGACAATTACTCTTCTCTTTGGTGGTTTACAATACCTTCCAGCACTATGAATTCCAGGAAGTGGAGATGAGACTTTGAAGTCAGCATCAGCTTGATTTCCCCTAGTTTGTTCTACAACTCCTGTATGTAATGTGTTCAGGAAAGGGGTTTTACTGTAGAGGAATTCTGGTGACTAATGAACAGCAGGATCAATGGCCAATGGTGTTTCACGATCTATGTGACTCCTGGTCACCAGATTCAAGAAAGGAGGTCCAGTCTTGGCACTGAGGTTTCATTTTGTCAGCCTACGGTGTCTAGTAGAGGCAAAGTAGCCTTGAATTAAGATAATACTTCTTAATCTCTTTTACAAATACATTTCTTTACATTCCAGAATGTCCTCCCAGTTGATAAGCCATGCCACTCTTAGGCATATTCCCAAGACTCTGTTCCTTAATACAGACATACCTGTACATCCAAGTTCATTGTTGCCCTTTTAAAAATAGCCAGAAGTTGGAAATAGCCTAGGTATCTGTCAAGTGATGAGTGGATAAAGAAGATGAGTTGCATATACACAGTGAGAAATTATTAAGCTCTGAAAAACCAAAATTAGGAAATGTTCATGCAAATGGATGGAACTGGAAACAACCATCCTGAGTGAGGGAACACACAACCAGAAAGATAACTTTGCATGTTTGCTGGATGCTAGCTTTAAAATCCTAGATATACAAGCTTAGATGTGAAACTCCAGAGACGCCAGAAAACTATAAACGGCCATTACCGGGTGGGGCAGCTTCCCAGGAGGGGGAGTAAAATATAGTGATGTAATTTTTTTGACTTATTTATTTATCTATATTTATATGAATGTGTGTTTTGCCTGCATACATGCAAGTGTACCACGTGTGTACTGTGCCCACCGAATGGTCCGCTGAAGGTATCAGGTCCCTTGCAACTGGATTTACAGATAGAAGTTATACACCACCTGGGTGCTGTGTACCAAACCCAGATCCCCTGGAAGAGCAGCCTGTGCTCATTTCCACTGAGCCATCTCTGCAGACTCCTGTTCTTTCTAGTTATAGTCGGGGTTGCCAGCTCCCTATGAAACTTCAGATGACATTGAACTTGTAACTCCTCTCCAGCTCCTCTCTGCTGGGACCACTGGTGTGCACCACCACACACAATTATTGCACTACTGAGGACTGAACCCAAAGCTTTGTGCTGCTTGACATCCTTATGTCAGGAGAACGGCATCCTCACTTTTCTCTTGAGTTCTTTTGTTTGCTTGAAATGTAATTCTTCATCTGTCTCCTAACATATGAAAGTATGAAAAATACTATGTAAATTCCAACTGCAATTAGAATGAATTATTAAGCAGTGGGAAGGGGGAGAGTGGGTCAGTTTGGAAGAGTGAAAAATATTTATAAATCCTTCCCAGTAACTTTGAAGGCCTAATTTCTTGGGTCATGCAGTCATTGCTTATTGGAATGAACAAGGTAGTGAAATAAGTTAGCAGTGGAGAATGGTTTGGTATGTTTCCTTCCTCTTGAATTTGTCCACCACAAAGTGTAGTCATGTAAATTGTGGGGTCCAGTTTGTGAATTGTATCATCAGGCACCATCTTGAAATCCCCTGCCCACTAGTAATAATTTTCTATTTACCAATCTTTAAAATCACCCTGTATTGAGAGAAGAGTTTGTGTTGTGGAAGGCAAATAAAATCTGTTCTTTGACTCGTGTAGTTTCCTGTTAGCATCTGTTGATCTGCACAGGAACCACATTCATGCAGCGGTCCAGCGAGAAGGGCTGTGGATATTCCATTTCAGCTCTCCTTACAGGATTCTTCCTGTAGTCCCGTAGCAAGGGTCCCTGGTGGTTGGGGTCCCTGGTGAGTGGGGTTTGTTCTCTATCCAGCCAGGCCTGACAGGGGCAGCGCTCCATGTCCACTTGAGAGGAGCACATTTTCTTGCAGCACAGCAGGCCGACAATGACCAAAAATGGTACATGAGTAAGATGTCGTCAGCACAGCCCCAGTTCACACCGAGCAAGTGTTTCTGTTTGCTGACTACACAGCCTTTCCTCACCCTAACAAGACTGGGGTGAGAATAATGGAAAATTTCAGATGTGTTTCCAGGTATAACACAGCTCTGACAAAGGTCCAATGAATCCCAATATGCACTAACATCTTCATCAAAAGTTCTTTGAAGCTACAGCCACCCTGGTGTGCACAGGTCTCTGGAACACAGTCATCTGATGCATCTGCTGTGTGTCCCCTGTGACTAGGACCTCTCCATGTCAAAACCTGCCCTTCAGATAGCAAAAGTGCATCACACAGTTGAAATCTGCCTGGGGGTGTATGTGAGGTGTTCTTTCTATGACAAAAAATGAACAGGGAACAGGCAACTCTATTTGTGATGGCTGTGTTAATTCTGTAGATTTTAACTCTTGTTTTATTAAATTGCATAACTCTAAAAATGCTGTTACTCATCAAGATGTCTAATACACTG